TGTTTTTTGAAGCTCGATTTGTTTTTGATTTTTTTATAAGAAATTTATAGCAACATGAATGGTTACGTTGTGGAGTCTTCCACTGTATTATGTATAAAGTATAGTGTTTTGGGTGAAAATTATTTAGTTTTGTAATCATTTTTAACAGTGAAAATTTGTCTAAGAATGAAAGACAAAAATAATAAAACGCCGCTCTTGATGTTCAAGTGTTACGTGGAATTTGTCGATGCTCTATTTGAGTCCGTGAGTATAAGTTTGAAACGGGCGCCACCAACGGTTAATATTATATTTAGGAACGAGATACGCCATTGGATACGCCTGGACCGGATTGTCACCAGTAAAGCTCAGAATGGACGTAGTTAATACATTTACTTCTATGCTATCGATAACGAGACATTTCTAGAAACGTATAGCTAGTTTAATAGTTACTTGGGACTACGATTACCAAATATTATCTACCATATATCAGAATGGACGTAAATGGAAAAGAAACTGAAATCCATTGAAATGCGAGAAAGAATAGTGAACTGTTCTACTGGAAATAGGGTGCCAGTAACGTTGAGCATGCTAATTCAAAATAGTGTCAATACGTCTTGTCTGATTGTAGAATGGCCTCAGTATAGTTTGATATCTTAAACAGAAAAATCGAAATAGAAGTAAAAATTACCAACAGTGAATGATGACCAATTTTGGTTTACTGTATGAAAATGGTGGGCAATACACTCCATGTCTGCATATTGGCTAACAGGTGTTATGGCACCATTACAACGGATAGTAAGTATTGACGCTAAAGTTTGCTGATGATTTTTTTTTCCACCAAAAAGCTTGTTTTCATGACAAAAATGAAAACCATATTTTGATTAGCTGACATGACCAGTCTTCTGAATACATATTACATGATATCTTAAAGATGACATATACACGAGAATATGTCATTTTAATAAATGACGTCGCGCTGTGCATGTGTGACATTTGAGCTGATAAACATCGATTTTCCCATAATCCAATGCGCATTTCTAATGAAATCACGAGTACAAGTTTTGACCTGGGCGCCACTTGCACTGATTACCGTCGGCGACTCCTTCGATACGTTCCAAAGCTTAAAGCTTGGTAACATCCTCATTTTGTACTAGTTGATCTGCGCTACAGTCAAAATAGCCATAGTTGTGTACATGAGATCCATATCTCGCGCATGCGCGGCGCGACGACTACCGTCCTTTAATGAATACTAGTAAATTGGGCTATTATTTATTATAAATATATAAATTATAAAACCTGAAAAAAGCTGTCCTTCTAGAACACATGTAAGTATTTTTTCGATGAAACAATGAAATTCTCTAATACGCATGCACACTAGTTGTTTCGGTACGTACACGAACACACACTGCACATGCGTATTTAATTTTGTGTTTTTTATAATTTTTTTTTTATAAAACGAATATTGTTGTGTGTGCTGCAAACACATTTTTAGTTTATGACAAATCATTATGTGGTTCACAGTATGGTTTATTTTGTTTGGGAACTATGAATCCGAATCTATCAACACGCATATTTCGACTTTTTGTGAAAAGAATGTCGAAATACATATTCATGTAGACTTCCTTACAATCGTAATCCATCCATAGAAAAGCTACATCCCGGTATATGCTGCCCTATACTATGTGCCCGATTTCGCCAGCTTCAGTCTACAAGTGTACCAGTATCTTTTCTCATCATGTCGGCTGTAGGAAAAATACACGTAACATAAATACGAGCGAACGAGGCCGTACGGCAACGTCGCGCGAATGGCGCCATCTACAACCGATGTGACGTCAGGGTAGAAGTGAGTGGCTCAATTCCTGATCACGTGCTGTACACAATCTAATAAATTAATTACTTTAAAACGCTTCCCATAAGTTCATGTACAGAAGAAGTAAACCGAGACGCAATGTTCCCCGAAACCACTGTAGGTGGCGCAGCACACGACTAAGGCTTTCACGGAACACTATCAATCTCTTTCGTAGTAAAATACCAGGTAATGACCTAAAATGCCCCACATATAATATGTATGTTGTAGCCAACATTTTCACATTGTATCGAATAGAACGCCTTATGGTTTCAAGAGGGTTGGAAACGATGGAAAACATACGAAACAGTATATATCTGAGCCAGAAAGTGAATTTTATGATTTCATTTAATATCCCTGTAACGTCACAAAAAACGTCATCTTCGGCAGGTCTTCGGAAGCAACGTCCCCCGGAACCATTCCGATGCTCAGAAATGTTATCCGAATAAAGTCATTGTGTCAACAGACGGTTGGATCACAGTCAGCTGGCGCACACGTAATAATAAAATAAATACGATATTTACTATATGGGGCCGCCATCTTGAATGCAGTATAAAAGTTGTGAAACGCGTTTTTCAGATTCCTACAAATCTGGACAAAAAATACCAATCTTTCACAAAAATACGATCCGTTGGGGTTATATTAAGCCAACTGATAACAAAATTCGGCCGAATTCGGCGTTTTTATGTGAAAAAATCCCTTGCATACGAACACATAATTACATGAAGAACATAGAACACTTTCCTGGGGTATTTGAAACCGAAATTGTCATCTGACTGTAAGGCCGTCGCTGATTGGCTGCTGAGCTGGAATGACAATTTTTGGTTTCAAATACCCCAGGAAAGTATTCTATGTTCGTCGTGTAATTAGGTGTTCGTATTTAATGCAGTAACTCCACTATTCATCTATTGATATGAAAATTGGTGTATGTCTTTTTTTTAAACATGACCCATCGATTGAGCACTACTCAGTAAGCACTTCTTCACATTTTCCAGAGGGGTCAATGTTGTATATTATGATCTCATTATGAAATGTACATATTCCAAAGATGTGGCTATCTGAGTGCAAAGACGAACAAAATACTCTGTTGAAAATGCAAAGTTATGCAAAATTGCTGTGACTGTTATGTTATGTTTTATTCTATATATGTTTTCAAGAAAAAAAGTGGTACCCCTATACTTTCTTCACAATACTCATTTGAAACTTCCATAAATGCTTTTTTATTTACTTAGCAATCGCGTGACCACATAAAATTGTATCTAATGGACACTGTTTTTTAATTAATTCAATTATGAACTTTTATATATAGTTTAATATGGCTCAAAACAATTCTTCTATGAACATAAATCGTGTAAATTTTACATTCCGAAAACCTCTAGGATACCCAAGTACATGTACAAGTAAATACTTGTGTTGTCATCAATTTGGAAACATTGTGGAAAATATACACTCTTTTAATGTTATTATTGCACAGCAAGTATATTTCGTCTAATTGTCAACTAACAATTTAAATATATACTAGTATATAAAATCATTAATTACTACGAATATTATTGTTAAATATATACACCGTTTACCTCATACGTTCATACTTTCTTCCATTAACTTATTGCATTAAAACAGAAACATTTTGACAT